ACCCAGCAAAGTGTAATAAACTCTTAATTTATGAATTTTACTTTCTTTCTTTCTTTAATTTTGGGTGAATTTTACTTCTTATACAACTATTAAAACCCTGTTATCATCATTAAATGCTAAGCACATCTCATATATTATTTAATCTATTCATGTAAAATATAAAATTCCCATTTTACTGATTAAGGATTTGAGGTTCAAACATCGTTAAGTTTTTTGCTCAAGTCACACAGCTGATGCATAACAACAGAGCAAGGATTTTAATTGAAGTATGCCACTCCAGAGCTCATGCCTGACCTATGGTGATTTCATTGCTCTGTATCAAGTAACTCATTATACTATGATTTTACTATGGGCCAAGTTATATTCTCACAGGAACATAAAAATTCATAGAGTAACACTTAACAAAATAAAGGAGCATCTACATAATTTCATGTTATTCTCATGTCCCACTATTTATAGGATTATAACATTCTCCAGTGTTTATGTGATGCTGTATGTGTAAATGGCACTATATAGAATGAAGGATGAGCCATATCTGAGAGATTTTATTTATTTATTTTTGGCTTTAAGTTGGCTTAGCAATTAAATAGTACTTTTGCTACCAAATTGAAAAATTAATAGCAAGAGCTTTTATTATTTCTGATTTGCAGTCTTTCTTCAGAATGGTTTTGTCTTTAGTAGCTTTCAGGGAAAAAAATCATGGTTTCCCTTAGTAGGTATATTATTTTGCTAGGGCTGCTGTAACAAAATAACACAAATGGGGTAGTTTGAGCAACAGAAATTCATTGTATCCCAGTTCTGGAGGTTGGAAGTGCAAAGTCAGGGTGTTGGTAGGGTTGATTCTTTTTGAGGGACATGAGGGAAAGGACCTATTCCATGCCTCTCTCCTATCTTATGATGGTTTGCTGGCAATCTTTGGTATTCCGTGGCTTGTAGACATATCACCCTGATCTCTGCCTTCATCTTCATGTGGTGTCCTCCCTGAATGTATTTTTCTCTGGGTTCAAATTTTCCCTATTTATAAGGGTACCAGTCATATTGGATTAGAGCCCATCCTAATGACTTCACCTTAATTTGATCATTTGTGAAGATCCTATTTCTAAATAAGGTCACATTCACAGGTACTGAGAGTTAGGACTTCAACATCTTTTTGGGAGATACAATTCAACCCATAATAATAGGCAATTTTTTCTAAGATAATAGATTTGAAAACACTTTAGTAGTGGTTATATACATAATTTTGCAGTTTATGAAATCATTGGTATAATTATATGCACATATATCCATAACGAAGTCATGTCTGAATAAGACTGATTTTGCACTAGTATTCTTTTTTTAAAGTATACTTTATTGATTATGCTATTACAGTTGTCCCATTTTTTCTCCCCTTTATTTTCCTCCACCCTGCACTTCCCTTTTCACCAACATCCCCCTCCCCTTACTTGATATCCATGGGTCATACATGTAAGTTTTTTGGCTTCTCCATTTCCTATACTATTCTTTACCTCCCCCTCTATTTTGTACCTACCATTTATGTTTCTTATTCCCTGTACCTTTTTCCCCCTTCTCCCCTCCCCGCTCCCGCCCTGCTGGTAACCCTCCATGTGATCTCCATTTCTAAGATTCTGTTCCTGTTCTTGTTGTTTGCTTAGTTTATTTTTGTTTTTGTTTTTAGGTTCAGTTGTTGATAGTTGTGAGTTTGTTGTCATTTTACTGTTCATAGTTTTGTTCTTTTTCTTAGATAAGTCCCTTTACATTTCATATAACAAGGGCTTGGTGGTGATGAACTCCATTAGCTTTACCTTGTCTGGGGAGCACTTTATCTGCCCTTCTATTCTAAATTATAGCTTTGTTGGGTAGAATAATCTTGGGTGTAGGTCCTTGTCTTTCATGACTTTTAATACTTCTTGCCAGCCCCTTCTTGCTTGCAAGGTTCCTTTTGAGAAATCAGCTGATAGTCTTAAAGAACTCCTTTGTAGGTAACTCTCTCCTTTTCTCTTGCTGCTTTTAAGATTCTTTCCTTATCTTTAATCTTGGGTAATGTAATTATGATGTGCCTTGGTGTGTGCTTCTGTGGTCTAGCTTCTTTGGGACTCTCTGAGCTTTCTGGATTTCCTAGAAGTGTATTTCCTTTGCCAGATTGGGGAAGTTCTCCTTCATTATTTTTTCAAATAAGTTTTCAATTTCTTGCTCTCTCTTTTTTCCTTTTGGAACCCCTAATATTCAGATGTTGGAATATTTAAAGTTGTCCCAGAGGTTCCTAAGTCTCTCCTCATTTTTTTTCAATTCTTGTTTTTTCATTCTGGTCTGGTTGAATATTTATTTCTTCTTTCTGCTCCAAATTGTCGATCTGAGTCCCAGTTTCCTTCCCTTCACTGTTGGTTCCCTGTATACTTTTCTTTATTTAACTTTGCATAGCCTTCACTTTTCCCTCTATTTTGTTACCATACTCAACCATTTCTGTGAGCATCCTGATTACTAATATTTTGAGCTCTGCATCTGATAAGTTGGCTCTCTTTCCATTGTTTAGTTATATTTTTTCTGGAGTTTTGATTTGTTCGTTCATTTGGGCCATATTTCTTTGTCTTGGCACTCCTGTTACATTGTAAGGGGTAGAAGCACAAGTACTCACCAGGGCGGGGTAACCCATGTCACTAAGTTGTGGTGCTGTATGTGGGGAGGAGTCAGAGAGGGAACTGTGTTGCTTGGTCAGCTCTCGCCCAGCTTTCAGTCACTTTTCCTGCTATCCACAAGCAAATTAGGCCCTTCTGGTGTTGATTCCCAGGTGGGAGGGTTTGTGTATGTTCTGGGACCCTGTGGGTCTCTCCAGTGAACTCTCCTGTGAGGCTGGAAGTTTCTCCTGTCACCACAACACCCACAGGCTTTTATGCCCAGAGGTTTTGAGGTTTTCTTTTGCAGCACTGGAACGCTGGGTTGAGTGGTCTGTCTTGCTCTCTAGTTGTTCTTCCTGGTTTATCCATGCATGAATGTGGGAGCACCAGGTCTTCCAGCCACCACTTCGCCCACCTGGTCCTCCCGCTGCCACCTTGCCATGTATCCTCTCTGCCGCTCCCACCAGTCTGGATGAGTGTTTCTTCTTTAACTCCTTGGTTGTTGGACTGCCAAACAGTTTGATTTTCTGGCAGTTCTGGTTGTTGTTTGTTTTTAAATTGGTTGTTGTCCTTTTGGTTGTGTGAGTAGGCAAGGTGTATCTACCTACACCTCCATCTTGCACTAGTATTCTTGTAAAAAAATTGTAGAAAGAACAAACTGGAGAACAACTGAGGAGGGCTTTCAGTGAAAGATGATTGGGTGTCACAATGTGTGGGGCATATAATGAGCTATTGGCATTGCATGTGCAAGATGGGTATAGCTGGTGGTATGATGAAGTTGGAATATAGGTAGACATTTAAGGCAAGAGGATGTTTCAGAAGCAAAATGGCATGGGTTTAGGTCCTGGTGAAGGAATGAATGTTATATGTACAATGGGCTGTGGTGCTAAAGGGAGGCATTGGGGTCAATTGTGTTGTCAAGGAGTCTTGGCTTTGGCCCTTTAGGGTTAATGCCAGTTTTAGCTAAGTTTCAAGAAATTGCCATAGGATTTATTTTTAATATTCTCATAGAGAAAATTTGAGATGCATCAGTAACGAGAAGAAAAACATGACCTGTAACCTCACTACCCAGAGCTAGTAATTATTAATATTTTGGCATCTTGATGTAATTCCTATGGAATTTCTGCCACAATTTTTCATTGAGATTATACTACATAAACAGTTTTCTAAAATACATTAGAGTTTGTATGTTCTCTAAATATATACCTAAATTTGAGATCCATTGGGTGACGGACCTAATGGTCATTACTGATGAATTGGGCCACCGTAATTACGTAAACCAGTAGGTCAAATTAGCTTTGTCTCATGTCATTTGGTCCTTTGCCTTCAGTCTTGTCCTTCCTCTGATCTTTCCCACTTCTATCAAGATCCTTCTAGTGATCATATCATTCTCCTGGCTTACTTCCTTTAGACAGGGCAGAGGTCCAGCTTTTTAGCATAATAAAGCATTTCTGTGATCTTTCTCATGCCTTTTTCTTCTCATCTGCTTCTTTTCCCAAAGTTTCATGAAGTTCTCAAGATATTGTGTACCCTTTTGCACCTGTATAATTTTTCGCTATTTCTCTTGACTAAGAATGCCCTTTCTGTATTTGTTCCTCTGTCCAGAAGCTACTCATTCTTTAGTACTCATTTCACATGACATTTCTTCTCTAAAGCTTTCATTCTAAGCCAGTTTTCACTTCCTTTTAGTATTTGTAGAACTTCCTACAAAACTTGTTATCAACTGATTATAGGGTACCATAGTGGCTAATTTTCATCTTTATCTTTCTTACTAGATTGAGTTATTTAAGGGCAGGAATCATGGGTTAGTTACACTAGTATCCATTATACTTAACATGGTACTCAGTAGGTGTTCAAGCAAAACGTTTGCTGAATGAATAATAATCCTGTCTTTTTTTATCAGGAATGGTGGCTATAGCTAGAATAAGTAATAATTTTGGGTGTAACAGGTGAAGGAGTAAAATGACTCGTTAAATTCAATTTATCACATGTTTATTAAGCATTTACAACTTGTAAGGTGCTCAGCTGGGTATTGTGGAAATGGGAAACCAACAAAACAAAGAGGAACTTTATGATCCCACGTCCAGGTGCATACAGGAGGCAACAGATCAATGTTTCTCTCTCACATTGATATTTCTCTCTCTCTCTCCTATTCCTTCTCTCTTCCTCTTTCTAAAAACAATGAAAAAATTTTCTCAGGTGAGCATAAAAAAAAAATAAAAAAGGGTTTGCAGTCTAGTGGAGGACTCTCAATTTCAGTAAATTGACATGAGATTATGGTAAGGAATGTAATGAAGAGTTGTTAAAGAGCAGGACTCATTCAAGTAGAATCATGTCTGGAAACATTTGTATCGAGCCTTAAAGTTAACAAAGTTTATTTGTTTGCAGGTGGCAGTGGATTTACATCACAGGTTGTAGCAGATGTTCTCAACGTTTCTATTGAAGTTTCCTCATCATCACTTACAGGAGGAGCTCCAGAACCTCACTGCTGTGGTAACCACAATGATCTGGTATGATGCCATTTTTTTCCACCTCATCCTTCCTATTCTGGCAGAGGATCCGGGTTAGAATTTATCTGTTTGTTATTGCAAACAACTATGTAAAACTGAAAGTGGAATGTTTTAATAATATTGATAGTGTGATTTCTTTGAGATGTGTACTGTCTGCTCACAGGACCCCCAAATAGCGAGTGCCTTGCTCATCATGGGTACTTAGCAATGTGAGTTTGTTTGAATTGTGTATAGTTGTTAACTGCTTCTTATCGATTATTAACAGATGTTAATCTAATTTTTTATTTCCTTTAATAATAAAGAAGCACATAACATTAGTGTTATTTATACTTAAAAACTATGTCTTCAGTAATAATTAACCAGTTCCTAAACTCTTACGGAAATTCAACTGGCAACTGATAAAATTTCATATCAGCAATATGTAATTACAAAACCTTTGTATGTATTAACATGAATGAAAACTGTAGCTAATAACAAAAATATTTTTACTTCATAAAAAATACATATATTTTTCAGAATTTTGGGAAATGTCAAAGAAGTTTTGCCTGAGTGCTATTGAGAATATTGCTACCATTAACAAAAATATTCTTTTAAAAATATTTTACTTATTTTTTAGAAAGAGAGGAAGTGAGGGAGAAAGAGAGGGAGAGAAACATTGATGTGGGAGAGATACATCAATCGGTTTCCCCCAACTGGGGACTTGTCCTGCAACCCAGGCATGTTCACAGATTGAGAATAGTACTGGCTACCTGTTGGTTCATAGTCCAGCGCTTAATTCACTGAGCCACACAAGCCAGGGCACAAAAATATTTTGTAACTTCCTCAGTTATTGCTACTGGTGATGAGGAATATAAAGTTGGCATGTTTTCATGTCTTGAGCATTTTCATTATACACTTCTGATTTTATATGTCAGAAGCAATCTGTTTTAGTTAAGACAGCTGAGAGCATTTTTACTTAGGAATAGAGGTCAGGCTTTGATTATATTTTTAGGCCAGTATACGTGTATATAGAATACAATGAATGTGTCTGAGTAAATGCATATACAATTTTGTATGTAAGTATTATATAGTATTTATATATTTCTGTGACTTCAGCTCATTAGAACATAGTGGTTGGGGACCAAAGCATAAGTTTAATTTCTATATTGACTATTTAATTTAGTTGTTTTCTGTCACTACTGGTAACACTCATCCTGCAGATATAAGCTGTTGTTCACCAGGGAACTTTGGCAAGAGAATTGGCTAGATCAGCAAGTCCATTTCCATTGTGGAAAACAAGTTGAAACTCATCTCTACTAATGGTGAGTCAGTGTCATCTTCCTACAGGAAAAATCATGTTAGTACTACTTTATGTTTTCAGTGTTATCAAATGACAGTTTGGTTTAAACTTTTTTTGTGAGACATTATTGTGATGTTGAATCATAATGCTTCATTACTTGAATGTAAAGGGTCACACAGATATCAACCTAACAGTGTAAAAGAATGGAAATAATAATTTGGTGTTTATGAACATACCTGAAGGTAGTTTGATTAGCTTCTCTTTTGCCTCCATTCTTATTTCCATATAACACATGCTAGCTATAATTCATGACTTACTTGAATGAATACTGGCTAGAACAGTACTTACTTTAAAATATAGTACTGATTTCAGGAAATTTCAGGATAACTGTAGTATAAATGGAAAGATTCTCTTTCATTTTGGTCTTTCAACTGGTAGCCATCATTAATGCTTGCTATCTCAGAGATAGACTGGATAACTATATATGTTTAATATTATAAGAGTTAGTAGTGTATCTGCTTAGCAATCTGTAGTTCAGGTCAATATCATTTAATGCATATTTAATAATCATAACTTCATTTTACTGTACTAATTACATTTACGATTTGACCCAATCTCATCTAACCATGAGATATGTGTATATATGAGTATGTATGTACTTGTATATATATGGGAGTATATATAAGTAGCTTGATACAGTTATTAATGTTGCTTTGATTCTCTTTATTCTAGTTGTTTTCAATTAGTCATCTCCATTGTCAGGTTGTCAAAGTGAATTTTCTTTTATAACTTTTCTTTGCTAGTGTTCTGTCTTTTTTTGTTATTATTATGTCTTTATTTTCTCCTTTCAGTGTATAAACAAATCCTAAGGTCACAGACTGATCGGATTGATACTCACTGAAGTCAGATGAAAGTCCTAACTGTAAGGAGAGGATCGTTATATTACAGGTACATGAGATTACATGATTATAACCAGCCTTACCATCTGTACTATATGTTTTTGTGAGAGGCCATGAAATAAAAAAAAAAAATAACATGACATTATAGTTTGATAAAAGGTTTTATTGTACAATTTTCTTTTCTTCAAAAAGGCTCTGAGTATTTTTACATTAAGATTGGACTCTATAAGTAATTATTTGGTGTAATTTGATGAATTTTTAAAAATTTTGTTCCTTGAATACATTATTTTTATATGATTTGTCTCAGTATTATTATTTTCACATTAGGCCTATTTCAAACACTTTCAGTTGGACTAGCCTTTGGAAATTTCTTTAATAATGCAAGTTTTACAACATTATTTAGTGTATAAACTTGAATTTATCATACCTAGGATACTTTCTAGTGTAGTTATAATAATAAAATACTATTTATTGAATAATTAATATTTGCTCATCTCTATGCTTAAATGCTTTCTATATCTCATTATATCTTCACAACAGTTATATGAGATAGGAATAATTATCCTAGGTTTATAGATAAGGAAACTTAGACTCAAAGAGTTTAATAATTTCCATAAGGATAGTGGCTGACCCAGGATTCCAAGCATGGACTATCTGACCCCAGAGCTTCTTTTCAGACCTCCTATTCAGAAGTGCCGTGTTAAGCTACGTGAATGTGAAATGTTAGTTTGACCACTGTTAAGGAAAGCCAAATGAATAAGTTGTTTAGACATTATGGAAATCTATGATCCTGTGATTTTTACACTTAAAATCCTTCAATGGTTTCTATTGTTTATAAAATATAAATTGTGTTCTCTTTAGTGTACCTATAAAGTCTTCTGTTATTGAGCCATTGCATATCTTTTCAGGCTTATCTCTCGCAGCCTCCCCTTACCACTCAACATCATATATATTCCTTACATGTTGACCTTAGTTAAACTGAATAGCTTGTAGTCATCCTACCATAATTAGCTATGTGGTTCTTTTTTATCTTCATTAATATTTTCCTTTTTACCATTATGATCTTTCCTCTTTGATCCCTGATAAGTAGCACCTTTTTATTCAAGACTCAGCTTTGTTATCTCTTTGAAGGTTTTCCTGACTACTGACCTCTGCCATTGAACCTTACCTTCTTTAAGCCTTTCCAGTATACAGATCTATTTTAGAACCTATGCTTTATTACACTTATTTATTTATATGTCTCTTTCTAACTAGACATTAGATTTCTTAAGGGCAAGTAAAAGGCTGTGTGCCTGATTTTTATACCCTCAGGTTTTAGCACAATGGGGGACATAGTAGATTCTTAATAAGCATTTTTTGAATGAGTGAATGACTGAATGAATGAATGAATGAATGGTTAATCTCGATAGGAAAGAAAAGATGATTCTCACAGTTGGTAAGATAATGGTGAAAAAGTGAATTCTAAGGTGAAATATTGCTATAGTTTTCAGGGGCCATTCAGTATGGAAAACTGTTTCCTGAGGTCTCAACATAATCATGCTAGCTTCTTGGAGACAATGTATAGTGTATGTCTGGAATTTTGTTATCTTGAACAACCAAATAATTATTATTAAAAATTTACCCATAAAATTTAGATAGTTGATTTTTTCTTAAATATTATATTTCAATAACAAGTATGGTAGATCTTGACTCAAGGACTCTATTACTTTCTTTAAGGAGGTCCACATATGCTCTGGTGTTATAATCAATTTAAAGTTGGAAAAAGACCCTTCTTGAAAATTATGAAAAGTAAGTAAAAAAACTGAGCCCATTTGTTATCATATTTAAAGTTCCATTTGTTTTAAAACTTCTGCCCTGGCTGGTGTGGCTCAGTGGATTGAGCACTGGCCTGTGAACCAAAGGGTAGCTGGTTCGATTTCAGTCAGGGCACATGCCTGGGTTGCGGGCTATTGCAGGATGCATGAGAGGCAACCACACATTGATGTTTATCTCCCTCTCTTTCTCCTTCCCATCCCCTCTCTCTAAAAATAAATTTAAAAATCTTAAAAAAACCCCAAACCTGGTGTAATTCTTAATGTAATATACTCCTAATTCATATGCTTATAATGGCCAGTATTATCAGAATGACAAAATTTTACATGGCTTAGTAATTTTACATTTTGAAAAACACCAATTTATCTTATTACCTTTTTAGTAATATGCCAAGCTTTTTATATTTTCTCTATTTATAGTTTAATAAGATTATATGAGTTAGAGGTCAAATGTTCTTTGGCCAGCAGCTTATAATTTTAACTGAAGAAATGCTAAGCAATGAAGTTATTAAAAGCAAGCATAAGCCTTCTGATATTAACTAGATTCTGTCAAATTTTTATTTGTTTTAGACTATATAAAACAACTTAAGAAAATATACTGCGTTTGAATGAGCTATGCTGAAATAGTATATTCACTAAATAATTTAGATAAAATGAGGCAAGTGTTGAGGAGTTTAGAAGTGAGATTTTCTCTGCTCAAGCTATGAACACTAAGACTTTTAATTTTGTAGAAAGACATTAAATACTCTGGTCATTCAACTTGTATATCCTTTAGCCTATTTAATAGTCAAATATTTCTAAGTAAATATGTGATTTAATTTGTACTGCTGAGAAACAGCGATTAGAAATAGCAATAAAAGTCACATAATGAAATAAGAATACTAAAAAAATCCAGGGATTTTACTGTGGCTCATTATTCATTCAATTTCTGGCAGCCTCCATGATTACAAATCACTTGATTGACTAAATAGACATTCTCAAAGTGAATTATGAATCAGGTTCATTTTTCCTGGTTGATAGTTGGCACATGCTGTAACTCTTATACTTTGTGATATATCAAATTCTTGTAACAGTAATAAGAGATATAATCAACTCTTTATTTCAGGAAAACTAAATTGCCTTTTCAAAAAATGAAATGCGGTTGCTAACATTTTAACAACACAATGTAATTTCTGCCTTTGTATTCCAGAGTAGAATTCGTAATGATGATATTATTTTTCAGATTAAAAAAACCTTTAGAATGATTTACCATCAGGCATAAAACTCAGACTTACATCATTTCTATAGCCTCCTTGAACAGTTGTCTGAGCCTATGTTCTAAAAACAGATTTCTTCCTTTAATATTTAAAAAAATGCATGATGGATGAATTGTACATATTTAACATTTTCTTGTAAAGGAAGTGCAGTTTTCTCTAAATATTGTACCTAATTATTAATGAGGCCATGGTCCTGCAAACTTAAAAATGTGGAGCATTTTAATGGTTATTAGTAGAGTCTCTTTTTGAGTAGTTAAAAGTGTCCATAATGACCAGAATCTTGAATCTTTCCATTGGTAAAACTGAATCCAGGGGGTCAGTTTTGTTTTGATATGCATTCTGTTCTCTTTTGACTTAGTAAGAATTCTTCATGCATAACTACACTGGCAGTTGAGTGGCAGAAAATTCATATAGTACAACTGCATTTTCTTTAATCCCATCCACCCAAACAACTGAAAATAAAGTGGGTGCTTTTTAATGTGGTATATTCAAATTTGAGAATCTTGAACAAAATTCAGTTATTACATTAGTAAAATGATATCCTTTCCTTGAAAATTATCAGGCATGGAAATGTAGGGCCCCGGTTGTTTAACAGAGTTATTATGAGATCCTCTTACTAATAATAGAGTTGCATATGATAAAGTAATTAATTCTGTGTTCCTAATCGAGGTAAAATCATCACATTTAATGGAAACTTTGCATATATAAGGATCACAGAATTGTGCTGTCATACTTTACCCCTATGTAAAAGCAGAGTAATTAGTATGTCAGAGTCCCAGGGCTTTTAAACTTAGTTTTTTTAATAAATGAGATTTATTTATATTATAGCTAAAATTTGTTTTGTTGCTATTTCATTGTTTTTAAAATGTTTTACAAAAACTTTTTGGAATAATAGTCTATTAACTTATATGAAGATGTAGAGTAGTAATGTATAATTACACTTAATTTTATAAACACAATTTTAAGCTAATTTTTATTTTAGTATTTTATTCTCTTAGAAATTGCCTAATGTTCTTGAATTTGTGTTTTACTCATGTTGATATTTAATTTTTATTACCCTAACATCATTAATTATGTGTCTAGTAGTTAAAATTTCTATTAAACATGTTTTCTGCAATTAAAATTTCATTCCTGATTAGGCAGTTATTTATATGTATAATCTATTATTATTTTCATCTAAAAATTATGCCCAAAATATTAATCTTCCAAAGATGTTTGTAACAATATAAATTATCCTGGTAGAATTGGAATTAAGGAATTAGAAATGAAGAGACAAAAAATCAATTTATTAATTATAGAAAAAACTTTAAGTCTTTTGTAACATTGGTAGATTTTGTGAAATAATCATAAACTAAACTGGGGCCATAAAATGCTCCATTTTATAACCTAGCTCAGTGCTTTCCTAACTATGTGACATATCTGTACATAGTTAGCTAATGCTTCTTTGGAATCTAGAAGCATTATTGTACTTTAGGTATACTGAAGTAAGCCATGTCCAGTAAAATGAGCTTTTGTTGCTCTGACCTGGCCATAAGACTTGGGAATAGAAGACTGGGTGGAAAGGAGGAGACAAAAAATATTTTTTATGGCCACAGAAACATACTAAATTCTTTTGATCATTTGTTTATGTTGAAAGGAAAAGAAATCAACAGAGACAAGAGGGAAGGGGGGGGCAGGGAAAGGGAAGGGAAGGGGAAAGTCAAGGAACATATAGCAAGGACTCATGGACAAAACCAAAAGGGAAAGAGCTGAGGGAGGAAAGGAGGGAGGGGGCAAGGGAAAGAGGTGGGGGGGAGGCAGAGACAAATGTATTTAAAAAGTAAATAAATTAAAAAAAAAAACCAGATTGTTGGATTGTCTCCATTTTGTGATGTATAGCATGATTGCTTCCATAAATGCTTCCCTTGAACAATTTAGCATTAGGCTAGTCATTGTGAGACAACTAGTTTTTAGAAGTGCAAAAGATCTAAATTTTGTTGAGGTCTAATTTATCCAATCTTTTTAATGAACCGTGATTTTGGTGTCAAGAAATTTTTGCCATCTTCCTGTCAAGATGGCAGTATAGGCAGGGATGGCTTGCCTCTTTGCACAATCACAACAAAATTAAAACTAAACCATAGAATAACCATCACTCAGAACCAACAGAAATCGAGTTGAATGGAAGTCTGACAACTATGTAATTAATGAAATCACACCCATCCAGTCTGGTAGGAGGAGTGCAGATGCAGAACAGGCTGGTCCCAGATCCACATGTGGTAAATAAAAATTTGGGAGGGATGTCTCGGGAACAATGAGTCCTAGCCTCACAGTAGGCCCCCTAGCTTAGGGTTTCAGTGCCAGGAAGATAAGTCCCCACAACTTTTGGCTGCAAAAACCAGTGGGGATTGAGTCAATGGAAGAAACTTTTGGAGTCCCAAGTAGTTCCTCTTGAAGAACCCACACATGGACTCACCTAATAACACTCATTCCCTCTGGGCTCCAGTGACAGGGTGGCAGCTTAAGGGGCACCAGGGGCATGCAGGGCAAGGCAGAGGTATCAAGCATCTAGGCGAGCAGAGGCTATTGTCCCTTTTCTGGGCCCTCCCCATACAGAGCCAGCAGACTGGTACCATACCTAAGATTCTAGTAACCTTGCTAACACTTTTTGACCCTGTCTTGGAGATCGCCAGAGGGTCTGACCCACCAAATTTACTGGCCCATCCAAGCTGATTTTCCATAAGAATGGCTTGTCTTGGATCCTAAGTCCTATCAAACAAGCAATGGCTGGCTTCAGTGAGCCCTAGCACAGCCAGATTAGATTCACAGTTTGGCATCTCCTAGAAATCTCCAAGTCCAGTGCAAGTAGCAGCCACCTCAGGTTGCTTTATAACTCAGGCACGGTGGCCCTGGGCCAAACACAGGTGGAGGTTGATCTTGGCTTGTACCACCTGGGAAACCCCGAGGGCCAGCACACCTAGTGGACAGCTACAGACCACACTGTCAAAGCAGCTCAAGCTAATACATAGAAACAAACACAGGGAGGCTGCCAAAACAAGGAGACAAAGAAACATGGCCCAAGTGAAAGAACAGACAAAAACTCCAGAAAAAGAGCTTAATGAAATGGAGAGAAGCAATCTATCAGGTGCAGAGTTCAAAATACTGGTTATAAGGATGCTCGGAGAACTTAGTGGGGACTTTACCAGCATAAAAAAGATCCATTCAGAAATGAAGGTACACTAACTGAAATAAAGAAAAATTTACAGGGAAACAACAATAGAACAGATGAAGGTGAGAATCAAATCAGTGATTCGGAACATAAAGAAGCAAAGAAACCCTATCAGGACAAGAAGAAGAAAAGAGAATCCAAAAAAAAAAACCACCCCAAAACCAAAAAACCAAACAAACGAGGATAGTGTAAGCAGCCTGTGGGACAACTTAAAAAGTACAACATTTGCTTCATAGGGGTGCTAGAAGGAGAAGAGAAAGAGCTAGAAATTGGAAATCTATTTGGAAAAATAATGAATGAAAACTTTTCTAATTTGGTGAAGGAAATAGACATGCAAGTCCAGAAAGCAGAATCCCAAACAAGACGGAATCAAAGAGGCCCACTCCAAGATACATCATAATTAAAATGCTGAAGGTTAAAGATAAAGAGATGGGAGGGTGGGTGTGGGAGAATGGGTGGGAGGTAAGGGGATTAAGAAGTACAAATAGGTAGTTACAGAATTGCCA